TGCCAACCTTTCTAAGTCTGGCTTTGTGCATTTGTAAATACTTTTGAATGATTGATCTCTGACACACGTGTACGCATACTCTCCACCTGAAAGAATTACACGTACCTTGGGATCTTTGGAAGAGTAACTTTAGGTAAGTATGTGAGTGTGAAAGTATACACATGGCTTGCACAGTTAGCCTAGAACAGGACTTTTGATGTTAAATGTTTATACCTAGTGTGTGTTGCTGTACCTTATCTCATACATGTGGCATTTTTCAAATGTGACTGGGTTCCAGTAGAGGTGGTCATATTGTGTGTGTGTGTGTGTAAGTGTGTACATCTAATTAATGACTGGCAGTGGTCCCCCACAGCTCTGGTAATGTGCTTAGATCAGTGTTATAAACAGGGCGTGAAAGGTCTGCCCAGCGCCAGCCTTTTAAATGACTGGCCTCTTGTTCAGGTAGATGGATGGAAATGTTCTAATATTAATGATCACGTCCCCTGCTGACCTGTCGCGAGGTGAAATGATCAACGCAGCCTTCAGCTTCCAACGGCAATTAATGGGCCAGAGCCGATCTGTCTGCCATTTGTCATCACTTACTCCACCTGTGCACCCCCGCCGAACACGTGCTAAACATGTCTGTCAATATATACAGAATGTTCACTTCACTGATTTGAAAAAATATGCAATGGTTAATGACATAGCATTTGTTCTCAGTTATTTCTGGACCATTATTTTTCTTCTCCTTAATTTGTTTCTAACCAGAAATGAGAAAAGAAAACCAGAAAAAAAAAAAACCCCATGCTGAAGTCTGATGACTTCAGCATGTCTCAATCCTTTGTTGTGTATCACTGATTATGTTCTTAATAAGTTACTTTGAAGAGACTGTCTTGCATAAAACATGATTTGCAAACGTAAGCTAGACCCACATGTCAAACTGAATCTGTAAACACATCTCAGGATAATACACATTACCCAGTAAAATTTACATATTAACAAGAAAGTAGCTGAAAGTCTGTTTATTTTAGATATTTCAGGCAGCATCCTTCTTACTGACCTTTAACTCTCACAGTCCTATTCATATTCATAGGCCAGTCCTCAGCAGGAGTATGGAGACAAGGGGTTACACATTACCAATGCCCTCGCGCTGAGGTCAGCTCCCACACATTCCAGTTACCCATTTACCAGTCTGCCCAGTTAGCCATCACATTAAGTCACCAAACTTCGAGCTGGTGTTCATAAAATAAATGAATACCACAAGTGGCTGTAAACAAAATGTCAGAATGGGGGGGATTTTTTTTTCCCCCTGAATTTATTTTTTATAGCATGCATGATGAAAACAAGAGATGAAAACAAGAGATGAAAACAAGAGGTCATTTTTGTCGCTGTAACTGCTGATGGAGCTTCTTTTTTCATTAATGTATTTGCAGCATGGGCTTTTTAAAAATAGATATTGTCTTAAAAAGGCATACAATATGCTTAAACTGAAATAATAAACTATAGCCAGAAGCACAAAAATAGAACCTCTGTGTTTATGTGTGTGTGTGTGTGTGCGCATCACCTCGAATTCTTACCTGCCAGTGACTCATTTTTTTGTGATGGCACCTAGGTGGCATGTTAGATTTAGTCACTATCACATATCTAAAGATGGTGTAGTCCCTGACCTGCACAGATCTTTGTTAAACAAACTGTGCTACAATTAGCCAAAAGGTCCTTTTTGATTGTATTCAACAGTTACAATTATCTGTATATTTGTACTTAAGCTTTGCCAATTCAAAGACTTCTACAGCTTTTATACGCATCACACATGCAAACACAAATGTCTTGGTGGAGTAGGCACTCCCTGGCCTTCTCTGTGCCCTGTGTCGCTTCACACGAGCTCCCTACATTCTTCGATCCGGTGCCAAATGGATCTGGGCGGAAACGCCTTTCATGTACATGGGTAGGCTGTCTGTTTGAGTCTGACGTTTTATAGCCGACTTGTCAAAGTTGTTGATTCACCATCACTTTTGCAGAAAGGGAACAGTTCTGAAATGGGTGTCTCACAAGTACCGGGAGAACACTGTCTAAACACAGTGCTCTATTATAGAGCTATCTCTCATCACGTCATCCTTGAGTTGCAGAAGGATTGCTTGAGATCCATGGTTTTGTTTTAATATTGAAATTCGTGCACTGTTAGCAGTACTGCCCTCCTTTGGCTGGTATTAAAGAGTTTGCATATGTTCTTACTGTGCTTGCACCAATTCTTTGTGGTACATGTATGCTAGGTTATCTGGTGATCTATACTGGCTCTACACATGAACGTTAGCCTGAATAGTTGACTGTTACGCTGTGTTAGCCCAGTGATAAACTGGCAACCTGACCTGGGTGAACCCTTCGTTTTGTCCTTTTATAGCTGAGATAGACACCAGTTCACTGTGACTGTAAATTTGATAAGTAGCTGAGAAAATAGATGAATGGATAGAGCCAAGAAGAATTTTTGTGAACATATCTCAAACAGGGGGACACTTACTGGAACATTTTACTAAACACTGGTGCTTTTACATATCTGTAGTTTATGATGCATCAGCCAAATCTAGACAAGCCCAGTGGAACTCATCTGCCCTCTGTCAGCATTTGTACCAGATACAGTGCTTTCCAGTGGACCTTCAGGGGCAGAAAAGAGGCTGGAGGTGTTTTTATCCTTGCAGCAGTGGAGTTATCTCACTATTTTGAGCTATTGATGCTAAGCGCTGGACATTAATCTACTCTGTGAAGATCGCTTTGAAGAAAGTGTCCGTTGAAGTGTCACAGATGGGAAATAAATGAAATTAATAAATATATGGTACACAGTTTGATATCTCTTATAGGCCAAGATCAAAGCAAACCAATTGAGTTCTATTCTACCTAATATGTTTTGCTGTGATAAACAGTCCGGCTGAGGGAATAATCCCATCAAGGAAGGGAGAGATTAAAAAAAGGAAAAAAAAAAAAAAATCAGATATATCACTCAGTACAGACGGTTGGCACGGCTACCATGAAGCATCCGTGTTATTATGGAATTGGTAATCTCGTTTCTTGGGTCTGAGTGGAAACGCAGACCTTTTTTTTCCCCGTGATTTTCCTTCTTGAATCAGGTGCAGACACAGAAAAGGGAAGACAGACACAGCGGTTCTCTGATACTGTGAGAGTCCATCTGCTTCAGAGGGCTCTGGTAACTTCTTGTCTTTCGTTTTTTCCCTGGAATTTCTGAGTATCTTGATGTATTTGACACGTGTGTGACAGACCTGGTTATGTGTGATTGGGCTTGAGGCATGGTGCTCACTACCACAGCTACATGTTTTTCAGAAAAGGCCATGCGCTGTGTGTGTATAAGAGCCACTTTTGCACTTGTGCACACAATGGTGGTTTTGCACTATGAATGAAGCAAAGTGTAATGTATTACTTGCATGCGCACATATAAAACAGACGGATGCCACTATATGGATGTGTACAGTAGAGTCTCACAGCAGCAGTCAAATAAATACACACACACAGGTACGCAGCGGCATCCACACACAACAATAGCCCAGAGCCTCACCTTGATATCTTCAGTTTCTGTCATAAGTTAGAATTTGACACCAATGAATGTGTGTCAGGTTGTCAATTTCTTCCAGCAGCCTTTGAATGCAGTCTGGCCATGAATAGTGCATGTTGTTTTGTTTTTTACATTCCAACTGTCTGCAAGTCTGTTTTTGTTTGTTCCAGAATAACTTGGAAGGCCTGTACACTCATGCGCATCCTTTAAGAAAACTTTCAGCAGGTGTTGTGTTGTTTAGCCTTAGGTAAAGTTTCAGCCCTGAAGGTAAATTCACCAAACTGCGTTAGATCAGATGCCCTCCCATTTCTTCCACCTCTGTGATTGTGTTCTGTTTCCTCCCTGCTGTCTTTAATACGCATTCTTCTTCCACTTGACCTCCTTATGATCCATACCCTTTTTGAGTCTGGACATATATCGTTTTATAACTGCAGTTTATTGTTATGACTGGGACATTTTATTTAGCTCTAAAAGTCAGGGCAAGTTTCTGTTTTTTACGTCAGTACCTGTGTTCCTTATGAAGTCTTTGGCATTAGTAGTGGAGAAATAATGTGAGACTCGTGCTGTAAATGTCTCAGAAATATACACCTGGCTGGTTTTTCAACAATTACAACTGCTTGGTTGTTGATGCACAAGTCATTCATGCAAAGATTTGAAAGATGTAAAAAAGACAATAGCATGATGGGTACATTTCAGCTTCCTGCTGCAGAGAAGCCATATAGAGACTTTGTGTGTGTGTGTCTACATGGATGCACCTCCGGGGAATGAATGATGGTGTACTGTGCACCCATGCAGGTACACATACCTTCAAACAAGCGCATATGGAAGCAGAAGAAGAGGCAGGTTGGGGAGACTGTTGTGAAATTTATTTGGGTATATATTTTTTATACTAGTTGCCATTGGATTTACAGGTCAGAATGGAATGTGGCCCAATGAAAGGTACTTTGATCCATCCTCTGAGCTGACTGTTTTATTGGAGGAGCTCTGTATGGCGCAGGACATCTTTTATAAGGTTGTGAGGAACCCACCGGCAGCCTTCGCAAAATCATAAAAATGTGAGAAGTCAATGAAAATAACCGGTGACCGGTCATACCTCAGCCAGTTTTGAAAGGATCATTTGTTCAAATGCATTAATTAAAATGGGCTGCATAGCTTGTGGTTCGGTTTGAAGTGATCATGATTAGATTTTGGTTTACTATTACCTTATACTGTATATCTAAATGATGGATTTGTTAGATTTGCTGATTTATAGTTTTTAGTTTTATGTGGTTATCACTTATTTTATTTGTGTAAATTTTTGTCCTCAAACGACGTGCAAACTGTCTCAGAAAAGCTGCATGCTGAGTATATTTGAAGGGTCAGGCCGCTCAGACATTAAATATAAAAATGACAGCAAAACAAAATGAGGCAACCATACTTGCAGCTACTTATCAGTCTCTTTTACTGTGTTGTTTCTTTACAGAGGCGGAGGCTATTGCAGGAGTTGGGAGACCAGAAGATCCCCTTTCTGGCACCCTCAGATCGAGGTTTTCAGCAGCTGGTAAGGCCAACTTCTAGATACTGTTAATGATATTTAGACCTTAACTTTAACAGGACTGCAAAAACATGTCTTCTAACTGCTGCTCTCGAAGTTATTTTTTTTTTCTCAGACAAACATGCTTGAAATATAATTCTATTTTTATGTCGTGTGTTTCTGCATGTCATGGTTATCATGTTATGACAACGCTGAATTGTGTTTCCTAGTGGGACACCAGTTACTCTGGTCTCGTGCTAAGGAAATCATGCTCACTGCCTGCTGAGCTCCATAGCCGGGTGCAGGCAGCTCTGCTCACCCTCAGAAGGAAGGGATGCCTCCTGAAGGATCTGGTTCGTGTTCGTGACCGAGATGTGTTCACCGCTGTGTCACGTGCCCTGCTGGGCGAACCGGGCCATACATATCGCTATCTGGACACACGGCTCTTTGCCATCCCCTGGCACAGTGAGGACATAGATGTCAAAGGACAAAACTGTTGTGACCCAGATCTGAGAGCTGCCTGCAAGGCATTGTGGGAACTTAACACCTTTTTCTGCACTGATGTGTCTCAGCTGAAAGAAGGAGACAGGCTAACACAATGGGCGAAGGGAGAGGCAGAAGCCAAACAAGGTGAAGAGGGGGACACAGAGTCTAAACACAGTGAAGACTCTAAAAATAGTGAAGGAGGGGACTCAGAGTCCAGGCAGAGTGAGGAGGGGGACACAGAATCCAAGCACAGCGAAGAGTGGGACATTGAGTCAAAACACAGTGAGGAAGGCTGCTCTGGGTCTAAACAGGAAGGGGAGTGGGAGACTGAGTTCAAACACAGCGCCGAGGAGGGAGAGTCTTCCCAAGTAAAGCCAGGTGAAACCAGTTTTGCAGCAGCTTCAGAGCATGCTGAAGGAAAATGTCCTGACTGGGGAGTGAAGGCCAGTGGTGGCACAGAGACTGAACCTGTGGGACTGAAGGCCCAGGAGAAACCTGTGGCCGAACTAAAGCACAGCCTATCAGATTACCACATTCAGGACAGAGAGGAGCACGAGAGTGGCCAGGGCTGTTCTCAACCTAGTCCTCCACAGGTATGCAGCGGTCCAGTCAAGTTCAATGTCACCTTACTCAATTACATGGACCCAGCCGCAATGAGCCAACTCAAAGAGGAGCCGTACTATGGCATGGGGAAAATGGCAGTAGGGTGGCACCACGATGAGAACCTGATCACTCATTCGCCAGTGGCTGTTTACAGCTATAGCTGTCATGATGACAAAGGTAAGGATCAAAGTTAAAATGGTATTTGTCATAACTGTGCTCAGTGGCTTGAACTGCAGTTCAGATTTATAAAATTAACACTTCAGAGGCTTTTACTTAATACTTCAAAACTCTTATCCAAAGTTATCACGATAATCTTTCACATTTTTGGCTTAAAATTAAGATTCCTTTTTCTCTTTCGCTTCAATATCCATCTCATTACTTTATCTCAGTTGCTTTATGGTGGATCAGATGCCGCTAACCTTGTGTGTTATGGCCCTACAGCAGCACTGTAGCAGCTGTAGACATGGCCTCTGGTGAAGCAACCATCAGATCCATCGATGCGATAGTGTCAGAGCATTATCAAATGTCATCACCAGTTCACTGCTGACAGCCTTATCACCGACAGTGCGTCGGGAGATCACAGACGTTTGGATCCGAGCTCTTAAACGCATGCTCAATAGCTTAGTCAAACAAACAAGGCTTATCACACGTGCTGCATCTCATCTAAATCATTTCCTCAAGAAATGATCGATGTGCAATTATCTGATATGGAATAATGAGCCCTGCTTTGATAAGTGATAAGTGTTTCCTAGACTGTACTGTATGAATACGATGTCTCCTAATTATGGAATGCAAACCCTTTCAAGAGCTGATAGCGTTTGCTGGTGGAGTTGAAGGCAAATCTCATTGAAAAAAGAACTTTGCTTTCTAGTGTATGAATAAAAAAACAAACAAAAAAAAAAAACCATGGAAGGCAATAGTGAGTATTACTCCATATTTTATGTTTTTATAAGTACTTGTTTTCAGTTTTAAAATAGTTTTTTGTGCATAATACAGTAAAATGCAAAATCCTTATTTTTTATCATAAGGATTAATGACAGATGTCTTTATTCATCTCACTTTTTAGAAACCCAACAAACCAGAAGAGTGCTTTTTAGCATAAATTATAAGTAGTGCAGTCAGTCATTAGGGCTACGTCCACACGTACACGGGTATTTTTGAAAACGGAGATTTTCCGTTTTCGTTTTAAAAAATAATCCCGTCCACACGTAAAGGCAGAAATGAAGGAAAACGCTGCTAGGAACATGCCACAGCAGCAGGTGGCGCTATATTCCGATCCGTGTAGAAATGTTGGCCAATCAGAAGTCTAGAAGCCTCAGTGGGAAAAAGTAAACAAAGCTGGGGCATAGAAGCAGAACCAAGTCGTATGTGTGGAGGGACAGTAACTGTGTGTGTGTATATGTAAGCATTTAAACACTGCAGAGAGTACAATTAACAGTAATAGTATTGTAGAAATTCATTTCACCGAAACAACGTGGCGCACAGTGTGACGTCAAATAAATGCGCACACCTTTGACGCTGCGTTTTCTCTGCTTTTCTGTCCACAGTAAATGCAAAAACGGAGTTTTCAAAAATATCCACCCTGGCCGGAGTTTTTAAAAATCTCCGTTTTCAGTGACCAAAAACGCCGTTTACGTGTGGACGAAAGGTGCAAACGCATAGAAAAATCTGCGTTTTCAAAAATACCCGGGTACGTGTGGACGTATCATTACTTGCACTCTCTAAATAGTGGAATGAGAGCAAACTGTGTTTTTCTGTTGCAGATGGAGCTAAAGTTACAGCTGTAGTCCAGCAAAAAAAAAAAAAAAGTACTGTTGAAGGTGGGAGCTTTGCAGTTTTAAGAGCCTTTGTCTCTGTCTTAAAACTGTAATTTTAAAGTATCACGCAGGTGCACTGCTAACTTCTCCCACCACACAGCTGGGCTTTTCTTCATTGTTGTTTCTTAACCAGAAACACATGCTCAAGAGGTTGACTTTAATGATATTTTTTTGGGGCCATTTCGATTTTGACCTTGCGAACACAAGCTTGAAACACTGTGGCGCAACACCTTTCTGTGCTTGGCAGCTGTCTTTCTAGTTTCAAGTGACCCCACATCTCCAGACTTAGAACTGAAAGGCTGATCATAGCTCTACAGATGTATTTTCAAGTGGATGGCTCTGAGAACTCCCAGAGCCAGTGGATTAAAAAGGTACTTATTCCAGAGAAGACAGAAACGCGGCACATTAGACAGCTTAGATGTAAAGATATTAAACATTTTGCATGATGCATTCATTTGAGATGTCTTTTTCTCACTACCTTTTTTTTTTTTTTTTTTTTTTGCTTGGACTAAAGAAATGTAGAGTTGGTCTTTTTATACCTGCACAGATCCAAAGGAATCTGCTACAATTGAGTGTTTTCCGGCACAGTGGATGATCTTCCACCATTCCTAAGGCCTTGGGGAGAGCTGTCATTAGCTGGCTCTCAGAGCACAATGGCTGGAAATTAAGTTACTATTTATCCGTGCTGAGCAAAGGAAAAGGCAGCTGTGGGGCAGAGAGGCCCAGAAAGAGTTTAGTATTGATTTTGCTGAAGGGTGTTGGCCAGCCAAGCCAAATCTTGTTTTCTTAGTATGCCATGAGAGAGAGGTACAGGGGAGGCGCTTGCAGCGAATAGGTTCAGAAACAGGAATATCATAGGATACATACTGTCCAATAACACACTCACACACTCACTAAACAACATCAGGGGCTTTTATCCAACTATTTCCTCTTGCACAGCATAATGATAGCATAAAGATCCTGTGCTAACAGCCAATATGACCACAGCAACACGTATCATCTTTGCTTGGCTGCTAAGTGATTCTTACTTTCTGTAGACAAAGGCTTACATCTTACATCCATTGTTTGGGTGGTATTGATTTAATCATTGCACTCTTTTTTTTAATGTGTTAAGCCTTTCTTTAATTTAATTTCATTTAATTTTATTTTCTGGCTACATCATTGGTGATAGATGGCCACTGCTGTAGTATGCTATAGCAGTTTTTCTCTGCATTACCCAGATATACAGGCAAAGATGTGACAAAAGTGGATAGAAGTGTTATATATTTTTTAAATAGCTTCATAACAAACATGTAATTCCATAAATATTTAAGAGATTTAAATTTAAGGATGCTGCAGTTTTACAATCACTTAAGTCACACTGGGTTAAACTGTCAACCCAAAGCCCCAAATGTGAATATAAATGCAAAATGCAAATGTTACAGTGTGCTGGGCTCTGTTTGACTGACAGGTGAGAGCAGTGAGGGAAGCAGCAGTGATAAGGCCTGCTGGAGGATTGGGCTCAAGGTAGCCTGGGACATCCACACACCTGGCCTGATGCTGCCGCTGGAGTCTGGAGACTGCTATTACATGAGAGGTACAGACGTTTGTACATAAACGCACTCAGAGCTACACACATGCACATGTAAACATGTTGCTCGCACAGCTTAACCGCATTCGCCACTATGTCTGACTTTGGAGGGAGGAACACTTTCATTACCCCATGTTTTAGTGTTACTTGTCCCCAATGACCCATGCCAGCAGGATGCACTTCACTCTCCCTTTCATGCTCTGTCCTTTTCTTCTAATTCTCTCTGCAGGAAAAACAGAGCTGAGACATGCGTGTTCATGCGTGTGTATGTGCAGAGAGGTTACTTGGCTTGAAAAGCGAGCTTTAAGGTTCCATGAAATTGTGTGCATTAGAGAGGTTAAGAAACCCAAATGTTATTTTTTGAAGTCCTGTGACCCATTCCTGACTATGTCTCTATGGGGAGAACAGACAGCAAGCCACAGGGGTGTAAATCATAGCTTAATGCTTTTGGCTGCAGCAGACACCTCCACCCTCCTCTTTTTGGTCCCACGGGTCTTTCCAAGCTTTCTCATATTTTCTGAGCGCAAGGACATTTATCCACATCACAACAGAGCTTGTGTTCAGCTGGACAAGAAGTTAGCGCCCCTTATAAAATGGCAGATTTATTATTTTATAGAGGCACTTTGCTTTCTTAAGTATATAAAGCTGCAGTTTTAAGGTGGTCCTTATTTCATCTGCATGATGTATTACCGTACTTTGTGTATTTTAAATAAGTGACTAATTCATGTAGTTTGGAACTAAGAGTAGAGAAAATAAATAATTTAACTGATATACATTAGAACTACAACACTGTGCTCAACATTTACATCAAATAAATACAGGTATTTAGATGCTGTCATTCACTCTTTTCTATATTTTTTTAATACTTTTTAATTTTTACTTTTTAAATGAAAGATTACCATCTCTTTACACCCGCAGAACAAGGTGGTATGAATAACTTACTTATGTACTGCACATATGTCACAAATCAGATTTACAACTAACTACAAATGAAGTAAAGCAGCTCTTACTTTTATGTGTTTTTTTTTAAAAAAAAACAGCGTGCTTTGATAATAATATTGTTGTTCGTAAGCCTTTAGGCCTCCAATTTCACAATTCTATAGTGGGGGTAAAAAAGGAAAAAGAAAAAGCACTGTAAAATATTTTCTCCAAACTGGTCGACAACTGTTGTGGATTGCTTTTATATAAATAAAACAAAAATCTAGTTTTTACTCTATCTGCCCCTTCACATCTTTATAAAACAACTGTTTCTAAAACAGGTGTTTTATAAACTAGTTATTCATAGTGTCAGTGGTAAAGTGTAGTTACTGTTTGCCACTACCTTGATAATAGCAAGGTGTTTTCTATAGCTGCACGCACATATGTACCACATGTGTCTGATTTTCCAGTTTAAAGTTGAATCAGATTACCTGTCTACTGTATCAATGTAATTTTAGAACATCGTCAGTCTTTTCAAATGGACCACTAAAAAGTAAGCAATAGGAAGGTTTTAATGAATTCCTGACATTGACTCTTTGAAGATGCTATGTTTTCATCTGAGAGCAACGATGTCTGTACCTAATATTCAGTCTGACAGGGCTTGAAGCCGACCTCTTTTAGCTGGATAAGATTTACAATAGAACAGTCAGTTTCAGGCCAGCTATGATAATAGAGTGATGGGCTGTTGTGCAGACCATTCTAATGGGACTTGACTGTCGCGGATCAGTGGGGATTTATGCTCCACTTGGTGAGTACGCCCTTGAGAGGCCAACTGCTGCACGACGATAGCAGCTCACAGAGTCCTCGGCAGTCTGTGGCTTTGTCGGCCTACCTGATTTAAATGCTTGGCACAATGCACAAACACAGCCATATGGAGAAAAAAACCCAAACAAACTTAAAATTACTTCGTTCTTCAATAGAAAAGATTTGTTCTATATACAGTACACAATTTTGTGTCCTAAAATACTCATAGAAGTTTTCCTGCACAACATTATTTTTACATACTAAAATCCTAAAACTAAACCAATCGCGAGACAAACAAGTCTTGTAAGACATGCAACACACACACAAACTCTATATTTTGTCACTGAATCTTAAGTCTTTCATGATTTTTTTTTTTTTGGGTGGCAACCGACGCATGTACGAATAAAAAACTGGATGTTTCACCTCGCCATGTCAAGCACACTCGCGTACACACAGGCAGAGTGGCCAGTGTTAAACCAAGTGTTAAGATATATTGTACCAGTGTTTTGGTGACATACACCGTATGATAAGTAGTTTTGTGGTATTAAAAGAAAACTACAATGGTGTATAACCACAGACACCGTAATGTATTTTCAGCACCATTTGTCGGCGGCTGGCCCTTTTGAACTGCTAATGTCTGAGCTGCTGGAGGCAAATTGAATCACCATCATTTCCACCCAAATGGAATTTCAGTGGTTAAAAAAGAACAATGCAAGTCTTGACACCGGGCCTGTTCAATAATCTGATTTCCAGCTCCCAATGCACAGGGGGACTGGAGAAAAGACTTGACCCAATATATTTAAAAGCCTGCTTCCTGGAAAAGGAGGACAAGTGGCAGCAGGCACAGGGGTTGAAAGAAAGATAAATATTTATTACAGTTATTGAGTTTGCCTCTACTCCCTCCTGATCCCACTGACGCATCAGACGCGCCAAGAAAAGAGCAGATTGATGGAGATAATTTGTTATTGGATATAAACAGTTTTAAAGACGCAGAGTAATTCTGCCCAGAGACCTAATCCTTCACAATCTCATCAGGGTGAAGAAAACACCGGCAAGTTGTTTTGTTTGTCACCATCTTTTTTTTTTCTCCCACCAAACAATAATATCTTCCTCCCAAAGCATTTGGCTGTTTGACTTTCAAATCACAGGCATTAGCCGGTGTACTCTTGCTCAAGGCGGGTGTAAATATGCACATGTGCTGTGAATGACAGCTCTGTCATGGCTAAATTAATTATTGTTATGAGGCAAATAATGGCAGAGCTGAGAAACATCTATACACACAAAGAAACACATGGAGGGATACACAAGAAACAGCAGTAAGGCCTCTTTGTAAAGCTTGTGTGATATTGGACAAATGTTTGTTGGTATGGCTCTTCCATCTTGACAGATTGAGCTCGATCTGGTTTTGTTTGGTAATTAAAATTATACTACAATGCTGCTCACTCTATTTGATTCGTCGGTACTGGACCAAGCGCAATCTGTCTGAGAATATAAGATGATGTAGTTGTCATGTTTCTTCACTCTCCTTCTTTCCTGTGTTTTCTGTCATAATCTTTTCCTTTTATGCTCCTTTCTATTCTTTATTTTAATTATTAAAAAACACAACATCAGTATGGGATGAACATTCAGTTCTGATGTGAGCTCTTGTTTACTCTTCGCTGCTCTTTTGATAACTCTCATTGGTAATGTCGTTGTGTTTTGATAGTTTTCTCTTAACTGTATTTACCAGATGACCTGAACAGTACCCACCAGCACTGTGTCCTAGCTGGAGACACTGCACGCTTCAGCTCCACACACAGAGTGGCTGAGGTGAGAAGTCAGAGAACAGATTAAACTCTGTTCTGAATCGCTTCGTAAAATGCTGTATGGTCTACCGACAGCCTCCTGTGGAATTAATAAGGAATGCTGCTATGCTGTTTTATTGAAAGACTCTATAAAAAGTTAATAAGTAAATAATATTCAACATTGTATGCTGAAGAACTTTGTTGTCCTCTTACGACCCTTTTACTGAGAAATAAAACAGAAAAACAAATGGTCTTTCTCTGCAGGGTATGACGATGTAAGTAAAGCCACTGCAATATATCCAAACATACTACAAAATGTTTTAAAAAAAAATCATCAGACTGCTAAGGAAAAATGTGCATTCCCTGGCTGGTTAGTGAGTGGTTGCTAGTAGCTACTAGTTGAAATTGGTCTCAAAGATGCGATGCTGCACCAAAAACCTTTATGCAATTCGTTGTTGTTTGCTGCAGTCCTGATTGGTGTGGAAACTTGGAAAAGTAGAAGGCAAAACAGAAAACATAGATTGTTTACTGCAATTAAAACATTGCAAGGAGATCAAATTTACTTTGAAAGCAAATGGTCTTCGGTGCAACACCGTCTTTGAAACAGCCAGCAACCTTCTATTACAGCCACAGTAGTGAAAACGGTGAATGTGGTGTGATAGGAATTATAGTTACAGCATTCAGTGAACTTGCACTTTTTTTGCCATTTAAATGGTTGCTTCAAAGACAGAGACCAGGTCTGTGATCGCTTGCAATAAGTTACCATCTTCCAGGCAACTTTTGTGTGTCATGACTGATAAATTGGCAATACTCCGTCTGCTATCAGTCTGTCATCACTTTGCGAGTGAATGGGTTCACGTTACATGCAATCTGTTTGTGATAGCAAGGCGATTAACTGTGATTAAAACTGTGGCAAAAATAACAAATCTCTTACTGTCTGTTTCAAATCTGTCTACATGTGCATAAATTAACATTAAAGAGAAATTCACAAGAACTACTTAAAGTCCAGCCAAAGTTTTTAAACAGAAATTCTTCTGCAAATAATGATGCAGTCGTGCAGGATGAGGTGGTGAACATACATAAAATAATGTTAATTTCCTCTGATTCCACAGAGAAGTTAGGCTAGTATGTTAGCATGTTAAACCACCTGCCTGACATTGTGTAGGTCCTACTCGTGCTGTCAAAGCACCTATTGCCCATTAGAGAACCAACATCTAGGAAACAGGTTTTCCTTGGCCCAGGATGCCCATAGGATATCCTTTGGGTTTTATAGGTTGGGGTCATGGAATGTGCATGTTCCAGCGAAGCCCATGGACTTACTTGTATTAGGATGTGATCAGTTTTTAGGTCACACCAATGCCTTGGGTTCTTACTGATGTTTCTCAAGCTGTTGAGCAATCCAGCTAGGGCAAATTGTCAAGCTGGGGGAGGCTGCATGCCATTAGAAAATGCCCTTGGCATTGGGATGTGTACTTGTTCTGCAACTCTCTGTAGGTGCTTCATTTAGAAGCAGTGTCCTTATGAATTTTCCCAACAGAACATTGCACTTTAACAGATAGTTTACCTGTTCTGTCTGTGGTTTTAATATTAGCAAGTAGACAGCTTATTAGTTGGGTAGTTTGACCGGTATATGCATATTTTCTAGGCATGCACCTAGGTTAAATGTATAGAATTTCTCACAAGCACTGCAGTTACGCTCTGTTTGTAACACAGTCTGTGTTGTTCCGATCAGTGTTCCAGTGGAACCCTGACCTACATCCAGTCACGTTGCCAGGAGGCCCTGTCCAACCTGCACACTGACCCCGACACAGGATCCCATAGGCTTGTGGCTCTGCTGCCGGCAACACTACAGGACTGTGAGGAGATTCACAATGAGGTGGGGAGATGGTGGTGTGTGTTCACATGAATGTGCATATGTATGTACACGTGTGTCTGTGATATGTGTGTTATGCACATTGGACCATTCTTCGATTTTATTTGCGTTTTTTACATATAGTTTTAATAGCATTGTTAAGCTAGCGTAGATGAGCTGTATGCACCACATCTGAATCAGTTTTATAAATCTGACTTCACTTTTAGGGCCTTCTGAGACTACTTAATGTGAATATGTGCCAAGAGTTTAGACAATAGGATTCCAGTCTTAAGTTTTAAAGACTATTCCTTTACTTTTTTTAAGAGTTCATGGCCCTCCTAGCACAATCTGAATTGTTCCATCTGGTCACAAAAAAAAACAATTAAGAACCATCTGCAAATATGACAAGATTTTTCAAGACAGTATCACAGAAAGTATTGTGGAAATACAATGAAACCATTATCCATGATTAATAACAGTTTGTTTATTTATTTATTTTGCTTTTGCATTGTATAGACTTGTGCACCTGTGGACAGAGTCTGGTGAACATACATTTAATGAAGCCCTTTGGTTGACCTTGTGTTCTTTGATGGGACAATCACCCTACGTAACTTTACGTTATCAGTGCGTTATATCTTTCCATGTCAGTCTCCCAATGAGCCAAATGATGTCAAAAACATGACAACAAAAACGACAAAACACATTCCAACAAAAACTGATGAAAAGCAAATATGACAAAGAGGAAAATCGTGTGCTTTAAACCTTTTTTAAACATTTTAATTCTGGTGGATTCTGGTTGATTCCATTTTATCTGCATTATGAGACTTGTGTACCATACTGGAAGTAATCTAATAGCAGGTTAAACATCTGTACATGGCAGGATGGACGCTTGCCAGCTTACCACCTTCTACGTACCTTGTTGTCTCTGCTCAGGGAAATGGTTGCAATATAAAATCCAGGTTGTTTTCATTTGTCCTGGCCTGTGATGGATCGTACAGCAATAGCTTCTCCATATGTTTTTCTAAAAGATGGAGCCAGGCCCCTCTCCACTCCTTAACCCCTTTTTATACAGAACAATGAGTGATGCTGGCTTGGGATATGGAGGGATAGAGGGGAGGTCAAAAAAGAGGAACACGAGTGGCTGTCTGCAGAGCCACCAGCATACTGTGTTCACTTGCTGCAGGCCAGCAGTTAATATATCACTTCACCTCTCCCTCTTTACACCCTTTGGCCCAAAGTTCACATCCAAGCTGACACTAGCACCCAGACCCCTTAGCAGGATACCATGACAGATGAGTCTGACGTAAGGTTGTTTAAAGGTTGTGACAATATTAATTATTCAGCAGAGCCAAACAATAGCGCTGTCTGGTTTGGGAGAACTGCTGTGCTAGTTGAGTTAGCAACTGCTAGTTTCTTGCTTGTGGCACAGGATTACTAAACATTGGTTTATTCGGGAAAACAGCGCACTATTTATAAAAGAGCAGGTGTGTGTGTGAGTATTTAAGTAAGGAGGGGTACTCTCGGGGGCTCAAGCCTACCCTACCTGGCATTCTCAATGATCGATGTGGCCATTTGTTTGGAGTTGCCCACGAGAGCAGAACACCCACTTAAATGATGTATTGTTGGTGGAGTTATTTATGATCGCGGCCCAGTTTGGCTCTTGGTGGGTGCATATTGCGCAGGTCGTGTTTGACATGGGCGACTGAGGAGTGAACAAGCCTGAGACACGCAGGCAGCCTGACCTGAGCTGTGCCTTATGGGCCTTTCCTTAAAAAGTGCTAAACAGCAAGCTAGCACTGGCTGACATTCCAGGGATATTGTGCAATGTGGTGCAAGGAGGTGGAGGTTGACATTTGTCACAGGGTGTGGGCCCGGTTTGACGAAGATGAAGTAGAGCATCTGCCATCGCTGTCAGCATTTGGGGGGTCAGTCGGGATAGCTAATTGAAGTAAAAATTGAATGGAGACAGAGATGGAAATAAAGAAAAATTTCCCACCTGTGTGTTTGGTCCCTCTCACTGTCTCCTTTTAATCTCACCTCCTGTTTTAGGTGGCGGAGGTAGGCTAACACAGCATCACCGCACCTTCCCCATGTGCAGGTTTGGCTTTGAAATGCTAATCCCAGACGCAAATGTCTTGTCTCATTTAAAGCCACTGTGTCACTTCCCAGGTGGGTGTGTGACAGAGTGCCCTGAGGGACCCCCTCTAATGATGCTAGTCCCCCCACAGTAAATATTGATGGGGGGTGGGGAGGTTCCCACAAGCTTTGGCAGAAAGTGAACTGTACGGAAGTAGTTGTGTGTGACCTTCTGATGTTCTGTTTTCATGGCCAAAATGTCTCCACAGGCTGCTTCAGTGTTGGCTTTGCTTTAAAACACCTTTCTTAAAAGGGCTTACAATGAGAATGTCAAAGTAATCTTATTAATAAGTACTCAAATCATTTTTTTTGTAACAGATCAGTTTATTGTGGTTTGTACATTTTTATCTCTGCTGTTATTTTTACTTGCATTACCTTTACTGCTTGTTAACATTGTTTCAAATTATTCATCGTATTGGTTGATTTAATGGGTTATTTAATTTCTCTGTGCTTTGGTTTTATTAAAAAAAATACTACATTAATAAGACAAATCTATCCATAAAAGTCAACATTTTATGGAAAGTATATCATTTATTTGTTTAAAACCCTGCTTTCAAAAAATTTGGGACAGTGTGTAAAATGTCAATTAAAAGAATTGTCTCTTAATTTAAGCCCTGTACTTAACTGAAAATTTACAAAGGTTTCAAACTGAATTTCTATGATCAATTGTATTACGATTTACCAGCTTGGACAAATCGTCTCTTTCAGGCCTTCAAGTTGTACAAAAATGCTGCGACCAGACGATTAACATGAACAGATTTTAGGATTCGAAGATGACTATTTCTTTTATCTTTAGTCTGAGAGGAAAGAAGTGACAAACACTATTTTGAAGATAGAATGTTATGAGAAAAAGCCTCTATAATTTAAGAAGACACATTAGAAAAAACCACAACAACCAAAAGTTTTTTTTTCTACCTGTAGGGTGAAAGTAAAACATATATGGCAATCTGTGCGTTATAACCTAGACTGTGTGCGACTACTCTGGCAAATGTGTGATGAGTGTAAATTGCGTTCCTAGTTGCTCACCGGTAACCAGGCTTATATGTGGGGAGATCAGGAAAGGTAAACAGAGGACGGCAGAGTGGGATCGATCACACTCTCATCAGTTCTCACCTCAGGGCCCAGCCCAGAAATTGATTGGACCCGCTCAGGGACTACCGTGAAGGTGTGGAAAAAAAAAATGTACCTCATTAAATCGGGGGGAAAAAAGGGGCTACTTGGCTTTAACTCCAGAGTTGCCATGGTGGGAGGCCGGTCAACTAATGTGCAGCTAATGTGTAGTTGGTGTGTCCATCACCTGGACAGATGACAGCGACTGCCTCAGGGGAGTCACTAACTCCCCTCTCACTCCCCCACGCCATCTCATAGAAAAACTAGGCCTAACAACCACTCTCTCTTTCGCACACACTTTCGATCTGTCTACCTGAATAGGTGGCATTTAGTCATAGTTCCCTACTTGGTAACTCTCAGCTGGGTAGCTAGCCTCCAAATGCCACATAGCCAGCACTCCTCAGTAGCTTTAGATGGCGTGCTTTGTGGCTTCCACTGGCCTGCGCAGCAGGGGACTGGCTGCCATGTCAGCTCAAAGTGGAGACACAGGTTGGTTTCTTCTCACTAAAGGACAGGCAGACAATCAGAGGGATAGAAGGATGGACAGACTGTGTGAAAAGGACGTCCGATATCGGCTCGTGTGGCTTTGTTGTGTGTTTGAGCTGTAGTGATCGAAGGGGAGTGGATTTGGATTGTGTTGAAGGGACCATAAAGGATGACATTTCTTTGAAGGGTGGGTTGTATGGAGTGACTGAGAGGCTGCTGAGCAGTGCCACTGGCTGTGTATTCTCCCTGACATGCCCCAGTCCTTGCATGTCATCCCCACTGTGATCAGAGCCTTTTTCCAGGACAGAATCCTCTCAAGTTGTTTGTGTAAATAATTTTTGCCCTTTGTTTTTGGGCGACTGTATGGAAGATGTCTTGCCTCATTTTGCAGAGCAGTAACCACTAAAAAATGTCACCAATTGCAGGATGTTTTAAGTTCAGTGTTCAAACTTTCCAGTGGCCCTTATTAGAAGAGTTTAGGATATTGGGAACTTAATTTGAGTTTAAAACTATTCGTTTTTTTGTTGTAAAAACAAACTCAGTTTAGGGAAACGTCCTTTAGACACATATAATTCATGTTAATGCTGCTACTGCTAATAAAGTTAGTTTAATGTAAGAGTCATGTGACTCTTGGTCACATGACTCTTACGAAGCTTCGTAATTTAAAGTGTTTGTTGAATTGCTGCACTCAAAGATGGGAAAATCTAAGAGTTTCAAGAGTGAAAAATTAGAACTAGAGATTGAAGATAATCAACGTTCCTTTTTCACGACAGCTGGTAAATCCTTATATAAAGTTACTATAAATGTTGGATTGTGGAAGTTATATGGATTCCAACACTGTGAGGTGTGAAGACAGGACAGGGAAGTTCTTGCTGAATCTATACTTGCTTTAGCCTGTGATACACTTGCAGGTTTAATAATGCAGTACAAGTATAATTCATTCTTCTTGATTCTAATTGCGAATATACTTTGAGACAAAACTTTATGCCATATTTTCTGACAGTCTTTTGCTCAGTTGCAGGCCTGTTCAAACTTTTGTGCTAGAGAGAAAGTTACAGTGGATGTCGCTCAAAATAAAACTCAAACTGAAGACGGGTCTCCGTGACTTTTTAGTCAGTGCAGTGCGTAGTTATATATATGAACGTAATTTGTCAAAGTTGGATGACAATTTTGGATCACCCAAATTATAGTTTTATTTCATGGGAGCGCTCAGCTGGAATAAATGTGCTTTAAATTTATTTCGATGACTGTTCATAGCTGTAAAAGAGCTCTTCTTGCCTAATGCTCTGTTAGAAGAACAATAAACAAACTACTTTTCAGAAAAGGAACAATGGCTCTCGTCATGCTATTTTATATGCGTTTCCATTGTATGAAACTGCGTTTTGTGTTGTACAGTTGTCTACGTCAACATGAAATGGAGCGTGCATTGTTTTCAGTGGATGATGCTTTGTAGAATGTTTTGGGGGAGGGAAGCTCAGCGTCTCACATTTACGTTGGTGGCAGTTGGGGCAATCTTTGACATTCACATTTACGTTGGCGATTGTATACGCATTAACAAAGACGCTCACGCATTTATGCAGACAGATACTTGCAAGGGCACAAATGCACTGATGCGCATACAGTTCAGGTACGAACACACAAACACGGAAAGACACACTTGGAAATAGAAAGGCTACACCTGGCTACGTGAAGCATCCGTGCGAGGATTAAATCAGCACTTCAAAAGAGCAGGAAACAAAAACACTCCCAGCGGAGGAGAGGGGAGCGGCTTGGCAGTAAAGACTGTCATCTCCAGACGGAGCAGGAGAGGAGGGGATGGAGGGAAGAGAATGAGGAAAGGAAGGAGAGGGCGGAGTTTTCAGGTGTGCTCAATGGAAGGTGTGTGTGTGGGTGTGTGTGTGTGAGCAGACATACAGTAGGCTTGTTTGTGTCTAAATTGTTTTGAGGGTGTGATTGTACTTAAAGACATGACCAATGTTTGTACTATTTGTGGTAGGATGTTTTTTTTATTTACGTGTCAAAAATGAGTGAACGTGCTTTGAAACTATTTTGTCACAAACAGAATGTGCAACAATTCAAAGATGGAATTAGCAAGTATGATTTCAAGGGAATGTGTCGTTTTCTTCCAGTACAAAATCATGTCCAATTTAATTTCTTACAAGGGACTAAGAATTTTTTTTTTTTTTGTATTTGTAAAAGCATTCATATAATTTCACACTCTGACAAGTAAATGTATCTAAACAGAAAAGTCAGTGTTCTACTTAGAGATGTACTTAGTGAAAAGAACAGGGAAAGGAATGCATATATAATCTATGTAAATATCAGATGAAAGTTGTCTCTCTGAACAACGTTTTTGTTTTACGTGTATTTGTGTGTGAAGGTGGAGTTTGAGTGGCTGCGGCAGTACTGGTTTCAGGGCCAGCGTTATGCTCGGTTCTGCAGCTGGTGGACCAGACCGATGGAGCAGCTGGAGAAGGACTGGAAGCTCATGGAGACCATGGTGAGACTGCTCGGACACACTGCTAGTCACATGACAGCTTTGCAATCTGGTTTCCCGACTTTTACTGCATTTGGCATCAACTCATTGTCACACAGATGACTTACTAAGACTTTGATGGTTAAACAAAATCGATCTAAATTTAAGTTTGTAGGCTGTTTACCATAAAATCTTTTTGTGTGAGTTTAGCTTTCTAGGTTTTACACTCATGATATTTCTTTTCTGGGACATAGATGAAAACAGTTAGTAGGTTTAGTTTAAGTATTTTCCTTATATTAAAAATATGTAATAATGTATATTAAAACACTACTACTATTGCTTTATAGGTAACACCCTCAAAATATAGGAATACAAATAAAAATGAGAGCATTTATCCAAAATATGAGGAGTTTCTTTGCTAGTGTAGTAAGGCTGTCACACAAAAATACGTCTTTCAACTAAATGCTCAACACGCCTCTACTTGTGCTTCTTACACAAACTACACAAGTGATCTGCTGTCCAATAATACCCCTCACCAGAGAGGGTGTGTTTAAAATTACATGGTATATTGTCTATCGTCTTACCATGCCACACTATTAAGGATGTGTCAAGTGTTTAATCGTAGCCTCACAGAATTTTTATGGGAGCGGAACGTGGGTGCGTAGCTATTAGTTAGACACCACTGTAAAGGAATCACTTAGTAATGTCAGACTCATAATTAAGTCACCTTAGTCACAGCTCTGTTCTGTAAATTCTCTGTGTGCCGCAGACATACTCACACTGTAGACACACAGCGCGGAAAGCCACACAGTCATATGCTTGGTCTCGCTTTTGGTATACCCCCACAAGTTCTATGCAGTCCCACTCTCATAGCTGGATTTCAAAGAGTGCGTGCACATGTATGTATATGTGTGTGTGTGTGTTTAACACCCAGACACGAGAAGCAGCAGGGGGCACTCTTGTATCACTGTAGCAGCATCGCAGGGAACGAGAGAGCTGTGCTCCTCTTTTCCTCTGTGCTCTCCCTCGCTCTCTGTCTCTTTATGTCTCTCACCCACTCCTGCTGTCTCTGGGAGCTCTCTGTCTCTGTCAGTGTCGAGCGCTGAGCAGTAATCACATCTAATGCTCAGGCGGGGATAAAGACTGGAGCTGGAGGAGAACAGTGCCGCTGCTGCTCAGCTCTAGTCATAGTCTCTTTTTCCTCCTCTCTCTCACACAGTTGAACAGCCTGGCAGAGGGTGGGTGGGGGCGTTAGTAGACAGGGGCTAAACTCATCTAGAGCTTTACCTCCGTGCCCAGATGAAGTGTGTGATTTGGACCTGTGTTTAGAAAAGGGCATCAGTGAAATGTGAGGTCTTTCTCCCTCTCTGTTCCTCTGTCTCCATGTCTCTTTAATGGGCAAGTGAACCATGTCCACTATGCATTTTAGAAAAAAATATGTGTGACCAAATATGGATTTCCGCCATGTCGTTGGAACTTAATGTCAGTTTTTATGCAATGCGGGGAAAAAAGTAAACCAGTTGTTTTTAGAAAAATATAAAAAGCTAAATCAACAAAATGCAATAATTAAAATAAGGTAATAATACATGTGTAACAATAAATGCATGGGTATTTTAAATATCACAAATTACATTAACACAAGTTCATTAGAACATTAATTTTACAGATTAAATACTTTGGCGCCAAATTGAATTAATCACAGTGTCACATCACACAAAAGCAAGTATGTCTTCTGCAGGCATGCATATTGAACCCGTGCAAAAAATAATACACTAGTGAATGCATAAAGGTAATGATTCACTATTGTGATGAAAGACAACATTATTGCTCTTGCCAGCAATATTTACATACATGCATCGACCTCTGATATGCTGATGAAAAGCACTTTATAGATGTGACTTATAAATTTTCCTTTCGGTGGTTTTGAAAGCTGTGGCTTTTCTGCCGTTAGATTAAAACACATTTCTCTAAATTACTTTGAGTTATTTAAATTATGTGGGTTCCCCTCACATTTCTTTATTGCATATATTTTACACTTTGAAGCTGGCAATTGACAGCATAGTATAATTTAGTGAAATACAAGTGACCTACTGTGTGCAGACGCTGTTTACCATGTATTTACTTAGATTTTTCTCTTGCCTGCAGAGTATATATTAATACAGGATTATTTTTGTCAAATTTGATATTACCATGGGTGTTTTAGAATAGCAAATATATGTCTCTTTAAATAGGGTTTATAAAATGACACTGTATTGTTTTATACACTGTGCTGAGCAATAAAGCAGCGCATTGTTTTATCCTGCTAAAACAGCAATACAAACAGCCAGCCTTCCCCTCTTTATTGTCATATTTAGCACACACTGTCGTGGGATGCGCTGGGCTATGTATGTGTTTGTTAGTCTGTATGAAGAATATTGCAATATGGGGTGACTAGCTCCTGTTTATGGATACTGTCTCTCCCTGGGGCTCCCTCTCTGCTCCTCAGCCTGTTGTCATGCAAATGCTCATCCTTCCATTTGAATGACATTCTGATAAAATACATAAATAAATAAATAAAGACCCGAAACAAAACAAGTCCACTCTTTTTGGTGCCTCATGAATTCACGTGGTTCCTTGATAGAAACAAAGAATCCGCCTCTTCTAGCATGGCTATGTGAACGAACGGCAAAACTATATTATGCGTGTATGTTGGAAGGTGTGGCTGTACGTAAGGTAAAAGGTTGTTTCGGCAGCATGGAAGAAGGGCATTAACTTAAAGGTTTTACATTCCCCTGTGATCCAGGGTGCCGAAATCCGTTTAGACCTGGCTCGCAGCCTTGTGTTCCCCCAGGACTCTGCTATCATGGCTATCATACAATAGTGACATTTCCTTAAACTAGCAACAATGAATAGCTTCCATCTGAGTGACAATAGACAGAGAGTCTTGGCTTTATGCAGAATATTTTAAATACCAGTGTGGTATTTTTTTTATCTTTTCTCTTTTCACTGTGGGGGAGAAGCGACAGCGAGCCCACGAGCATATCTTTTTTCCCTGTCCTGTGTGCGCGTGTGTGTGTGTTTGCGTGTATGTGTGAGCCATTGATGTTAATGTATGCACTCGGCATGACTTTAATTGATTTAGCAGCTCTGCTTGCACAGTACAGCTTTTTCCCTAATTTGTCACTTTCCTGACTTCTGTGGCTGCTCATCTCACAACTTCAAAAGCCACCGGATGCAAAGAGATTTCAATGCACTCCGTCTTCTCTCTCTCTCTCTCTCCCTTTCTTTCTTTCTCTTGTTCTCTCTCGCTCCCGCTACCTTGCTGTATTTCTCTCTTTCTCACACTTTCTCCCTCATTTGACAGAAGAACGAGCCTTGTAGATGGAAATCTTTTCAACACGTATCAAGGAAATTAATCTGCTTTCATAATAAACGGGATCCATTCAGTTGAATACATTTGTATACTTCAAGATGTACAAAACAGGAAGTGGTATCGGGGCCATGTCTTCCTCTGCACCGTTCACCCAGCCTGTCAGTCCCTGTTTTTCAATGGTTTGGTCACACACATACAGTACGTGCATATATATATTTATATATATACTCTCTTTTTTTTCCTCCCTGTGTCACAAAATTTGCTTTCTTTGATTTATAATGGAGGCTGGCTTTTGCATGCATGTGTATGCTTATGAGCCGAGATGCGCTTGGCGACCATTTCTTTTTCTCCCCTCACTGTAATAGCAGTCTTTGGAAACAATCTGGGCAGCCGAGGAGGGCTGCACTGCAATCATACAGAACCTGGCCTGGTCGCCATCAGTAGCTGATTAGGTTATTGAGCAAACGTGCTGAGGAGGGGTTGGAGAATGAGGGATGCGGGAGAGGGGGAGGTAGCAAAAAAAAAACTGCTGGTAGTGTGTGTGCGTGTGGGGGGAGCAAGAGTGGAGGGGTCAATGTAAATGTTATTGCTGTGTGAGCTCATTTGATCAAAGTCCTGGAAAGGTTAAGCGAATCCAATCTGGTTTTGTATGGCAGAGTGGAGACACAGGCGCTAGGGAAGAAACCCCCAGGACGGAGAATGGATTATCATATTGGCGCTGAAGTAGCAGGGGCCTCCGACGGACAGTTTACTCTGCCCGTAATGCGTTTAGACAGCAATTGGCCTTAATAACCTTTATTGACTTCAGCGGGTCAGTGCCAAGAATCTAATTATCAAAGTGTATCAATTTCATTGGAGTTTAGAGTTGCACCGCTCAAAATAATTATTTTAAGGTCGGCCCGGGGCAATTAATCCCCTCTCCACTTATTTGATGGCTTTGTAAAACATTATAAATGTTATGGTTTCTGTTGTGCGTTACGCCGTAAATAATTTTAGGGAGCAATTTTTTGTAATGCATTATTTGGAGAGCTTGCCATGCTGGTCCAGGTGAGAGAAAAAGGCAGTATATTTTAAAAAGCTAGGGGCTAAAGCTGAATCACGCTGCAGATGTTTACCAGCAGTAATTTTTCTCTTTTGCTTGCCGCTTAACTTGCACAGTTAGGCAGAGTTTTATATCCACTTTATATGCACACATGGAACCCAGATTAATTATAAGTGTGAACTAAGCAGTAAACTGCTTAAAGACCATTTTTATTGCTCATTATGAAGCCATTTATTATCTCTTACATTAAATCACACTGGGTTTATGCATCATATTGTTTTGCATTTAAAGCTCCACACTACGTAAATAGGCTTATACTTTTATTATATTCAATTCTGTGCGGTTCTTACGCACAGATAGAGCGTGTGCGAAATGTGTGTCTGCGTGTATGGCTTCAGATTTATTTGTACGTTTCTGTCCGCGTGTCTGTGTGTGTGTGTGTGGGGGGGTGCAGTGTGGCCGCAGTGTGTGCGAAGGAAGTAAATGTGCAGCTGCACAGTAGTTTATCCTTCATTGACAGTCAATATGTGCTGTTACCTGGATAGTAGCAGCTGTTTCTCCTTATCGCACAACATAGAGTAGAGGCCTAATCCACACGTTCATAATTGCTTGGCGTTGTTTACCTGCAGC